CCCCCCCCCCTTTGACCATAGGAAACTTTCTCTGAATATGTCCATCATCATCACCATCATCCTCCTCACTCTGTTTCCACTCAGGGTAAGCAGGGTTGAAAATGAGGCAGAAGGTAAGAAAAGAAGTGGGGGGGGGAAGAAGCCAAAGCTTGTTCACTAAAGCTCTCCCTCCCTTCCTCTCCTGGCCCACCACCCTCGCTGCTTTGTTTTGCCTTCGGTGCTTTAGGATCATATCAACAACCTCGGCAAGAACAGCAAGAACAACACTTGTGCCCTGTGCATTCAGGCAACAGAAATAGAAATAGAATAGAATAATAACTCTATTGTCACTTTGAATGTACACTAATAGGCATACATTAAAATGAAATTTCATTGCATTCAGCTCTCAAACGGTCACCACCTTCGATGTACACTACATAAATATGACATAAATAAATAAATAAATAAATAAATAAATAAATAAATAAATAAATACAGAATTGTGCATATACCCTCATATATTATATGACACAGAGAAACAACACAGTCTAGTTTGGATTGTTTATACATGTGCATAGTGAGAAAAATGAATCTTGCGAGTTTACCAGATGGAGGGCGTAAGGAACAAAGCTATCACAGAATTGGGTAGTCCTGCTATAAATACTTCAAAACCTCCTCCCAGAGGGGAGCAACAGAAACAGACTGTAAAGTGGGTGTGTGGGGGGGGTCTCTAACAATGCTTTGAGCTCTAAGCACATAGCACTTCTAAGCAGCGTCCTGAATATCAGGGAGCGAACTTCCTATGACCTTCTCAGCTGTCCTCACCACTCTCTGTGTGGACTTTCTATCTGAGGCACTGCTGCCACCAAACCAGACAATGATGCAATTTGTTAAAATGCTTTCAGTGGTGCCTCTGTAAAAAGTGGCCAGGATAGAAGGAAAAAGAGGTGCTCTCCTCATCCGATGCAGGTTGTGAGCATTAGCTAAAAACCCTCCTTGCACCATGACGGAAGGCAGATCGGTATCCTTGAATCTCGACGGGGCTGAAATGACAAATAGAAGGTGGTCAGCTGGACCAACCACCCAGGCAATTGAGGAACCACTTCATCTTCCGTCTATGCTCAGTCCTGGTTGACAACTGCTGAAGGACCAGTGGAAATGGTTCGTGCAACCTCAACTCTCCTGTGTGTCCTACATCAACATGATCTTTACAGGAGAAAGAGCTTCATCTGCACAGAAGAATGGATTGGGAGGGACTGAGGGGAGCAGGGAAAGGCATCGAAGAGGTGACAGTGGTGAGTCCGTTCTGAGCTTATCTCAGAAACAGCCACAACCAGATGGGAGAAACCTGCAGACAAGAGTCTCAGATGGAAACGTCCAGTCCACTTTAGCCCCAGATGAGCACTAAAGAGACCTTCCTAAAATCAGTGTCCTCCTGGCTTCCTTGACTTTGCCCAGCTGTGTGGTGCTTGACCATCTCCCTTGTCCAGAAGCACTCTGCCAGGGTGACCAATGGCCACACTCCTCAATGAGAAGCCCACGAGAAGGAGGACATCAACGTAGCTGCTCCTTAGGCTGACATTACAGAAAAACAAGCCATCTCCGGCACTGAAGACCATCTCCCTTGGGATTACCTACTGAACAGCGGTCCTTCCATCCCCACAGGCCTCCCATGCAGGGTCGAGAGGCTGAAGGGTTGGAAGCTCCTTCCAGATCTCCAGTGCTGGATGTTCTGCTGAGTGTTCCTGGTTGCTGCTGTTGCTTCAGCTGCTCTGCTTATGGCATGAGGGGCACCAAATGGTCTTCTGCAAAGAAGTGAGCAAGCACAGGTTGTGTTGCCTGCTCTGAATCTCCTTCCCCTGGATCGTCTGCCTGCCCTTCAGGACCCCAAGCCACATCCTGACTGCCCCCAATGACCCTAACCCTCAGCCGGCCAGCCAGGGTGAGAATAACAGACAAGGTGGGACCTTCCCAATGAAGACCATTGCT